GATTCTTTGATTCTATGATTCTGCTTGCTGGGGTGAGCATGGCCGTTTCTCCCTTTCTTTGTGCGGCTGTGGCAGAAATTCATCAAAATTCTTGTCAAGTAGAAATAGTTTTTCTTCTGGAATTAAAAATTTGCTGCCTTCCAGCAGAATGCCATTTTCTCTATTATTTATTTGTGCTTGTAAGTAAATTGGCAGTTGTATTTTCTAAGGAAGGGGAGCTGATGCAGCCTTGTGCCATTAAGTTGTCAGAGCCGAGCAGACGAAGCACGGAGCATTTCTGCAAAATTGCTCTCCGTACTCTCATTTAAAAGAAAGTTTTACCTGCAAGAGAAAGAGATGAAATCTGTGACATACAGAATGGATTGCCTGATGTCTCCAGACTGATTTAAAGCAATCGATCTACTCTTTATTTTTAAGGTTTTAAGGCCTGTGAAGGAGTGAGGTGTGCAGCTCGGGGTTTGTGCTTGCCTTTGTGCGTGTAAATGGGGAGGAGGGGAGCTGCCTACAGCAAATTGCTTGCACTGGGGCATAGCAAGGAGACTGAGCAGGAGGAGCATAAGACGCCGTCCTTCAGGCCTTGCCTCTGCCCTTTGGAGTGTATATGGAAACTTGGGTGCCACGCTTTCAAAACTAGTTGCTGTGTTTGTGATGGAGAACTGTTAAGAGGAAAGATGCTTGCTGTATAGATCACTATCAACACATTCTGGGTTGAAGATGTGATGGCTGGGTGTGAAAATACACCGAGGTGTGCAGGTCAGAGGGAGAATGTGCTGTTTTGTCGTGGAAAAATAGGATTGCTTTAGGTGATAAAAAGGGAAATAAGATTAAAACAAGCTGATAAATTGGAAACTGAAGCGACAAGATAACATAGCAGGGCATTCAAGACAAGAAGGAAGAACTGAAACCGATGGGGTGAGGGCATGAATTATTGATTGCAATCTTCACCAGTAGGATGTCGTTGCATTTTCTTATCTCGGGAAGGGAGAGAACAAATGAGAAGTGAACAGAATTGTTAAGCAACTTTATCATGGTATTGGAGTGGATAATTAGGCAGTGAGGATTATTCCTAGTGGACAAAGCATGCAGCCCAGCGGACTTGTGCTCCTGATTTCTGAGGACACTGGTGGGGAAGCAGGAAGAAGCTTCTGGAGAGACGTTGAACAGTGCATTAGATCAGGGGTAAACCCTGAGACTGGTGCTTTGCAGCAGGTTTGAAATGAGAGCAAAAGGGGATTCCAGAGGCCTGGCCAGTGAGAAAGAGTGTAGTTGAAGATGAGCAGACCTCTGAATAGAAAAAGTGAGACTGTGGGCAAAGGCCACCTGCAAATATTGTGGGAAGGGAGGGGACTGGCAGCTTCCTAGCCTATTTCTTTTTAGTTCTCTGTTGTAAGTTATACCCAATCACTCCCTCTTTCAAGAGGAGCCCTGGGAAAACAAACAAACAAACAAACAACAAATGAGCAGCTTTGTGTTTGTTGGCTGAATCCAGTCTTAGAAGGGTTGCAATGCTGTGGGACACGGTGGAAAGCTGAGGGACTCAAAAATATCTCAGAGAATAATCTGTAGTCTCCAGCTGCCTGTTTTGTCCTCTGAAATCACAGATGAAATCAGTGGGAGAAGACTCTGGAGGGGCACGTGAGACATAAGGAGCTGCAGCCCCAGATTTTAGGGTCTCTGATGCAGAAAGCAGAACCATCTCTCACAGGGGCTAATGTGGATTCCTAGTGTTATGGTGTCCATGATGAAAGGTGTTTTTGACCATCTGAGCTACATAAAATCACCTCTTGCCTGTCTTCTGAGCCTTCAGCCTGCCTCTGGCCAAATCCAGACTCACAGGAAGGGTTTGGTTATGGGTCTTCCTGATTCTGCCTTTGGGCTGGGGTCTTCTAAGGAATCATAGATCTGTTTGAGTTGGAAGGGAACTCCAAAGGTCATCGAGTTCAACTCACCTGCAATGAACAGAGACATAAAAAAAGGCTGTGCCAGCACCACAGCCTACCTCGTCCAATGAGCACGACACCTTTAGTGTTGACACTGTGGCTGCTTAATGGCTGCCTGCACACTTTTGAGGGGCAAAAAGGACTAAAAATAGCATGATACATCTGTAACTGAACTCATCCCAGCTGTTCAGATTCCAATTCCAGCTGTGCTCTGTGTTTGGCATAGGCCTGTCATCCCCTGTGCAGCTCAGGCTGGCCTGTGCCAGTCATCTTAAGCTAGATGTTATTTAAAATCAATTTGAGGAGATGCAGATGTTATATAAATCATTGAGGAAATATCAGATTATGCATGCAATTTTCAGAAGTGCTCCACAGTGGTCTGACTCAGCTCCCTGCGGAGCCCAGGGTTCAGCATTAAGCAAAGGCAGAGTTGGTGCTGGTCACTATCCTCAAAAAGTCATAGGAGAGGAGCTGGCACTGCAGACCTGTAGGATTGATGTTGCACCCACAGGCTGAAGCCATTTGTTCAGGACACTCAACGATCAGGGAAGGCAAAAAAAGAAGAGGATGAAAAATACACGGAATAGAGTATTTGTTAGCGATTATTTGCTTGGCCTCATTGGCAAATCACCTGGTGTTCTTGGAAAGCTTTTTGTTTATCTGGGAAATTGCAATCCATAGTGTTCCTCTTCCAAGTCCAAGTTCAGAATACTCGTGATGTATAATTATGCCTAAGGAGAGGCTGCAGTCCAGAATCAATTGATGATAGCCATTAAGCATAGATATAAATCCTGACTTGATAAAAGGCCCTGTTTCCTCCCCACACTTAGCATCCACATATATGTAAATAACTGGAAAACAAAGTGCTTGGTTTCAGTGACACAGTGGCTTGTCATTTCCTCAGAGATGTTAAAATAGTTCCATGCATGAGTAGCATCAAAAGTGTTTGTTACATTCAGCAATTTGGTGCACACCGACTCATCACAGGAGCCAACCAGCAGCCTGTGGCCACATGAGAGCATCTCACAGAGGTGTCCAGCCTGGCACATGCCACATGCTGTAGTTCTCAGGATGATTCCCAAAGCTGTCTGACATGTGCTCTACCTTGCTGAAAACAAGGTTGGTTTTAATAATAGGCAATTGTATAAATAGCAAATGTGAATCTGTACCGTAGCATCTGTGGGTCCCGTCGGATGTGCTGATGTTTTGTGGAGCAGAGGGGAACGAAGCCAGAATTTGTATTTGTTGAAAGTAGAGTATTATTAGATGATCTCTCCAGTGGAAGTAGCAGCCCCTACATGCAAACTGTCAGAAATACTGCCGAGTTAATTGCTGCTTTAGAGGCACTGATGTTCAGTTGCAAGAAAGTGGGTCGACTATTGACAAGATCACCGATGCAATGTAATTACTGTGGAAGCCATATAAAAATAGGCTTTGTGCTTAGCTAGAGCTGTGGCCGGCTGAGCATCGTGGCAGCTTTAGCTGTGTCTGTGTATGTACTGCAGGGACACACATAGCTGCCTGTGTGTGTGCACTGAGTACATCAGTCAAGATCTTCCAAGCACGTGCTGTGATTTTGAAACTATTTTTGTGTGTCCCTGACTCACAGTCACTGGTCCTCCTGGTATATGACACAACCGTATCATGAAAAATGAGAGTCAGCTGAAGGCTCTTTGGTAAGAGTTTTGGGATGGTTTCCTTTGCTTTGCAGTATTTGTGGTTTTTCTTATTACCTCCTAACCACTGTGCTTCTTGGTATGTATGTGAGACCTAAGGGTTATCTAATGACGCATGTGTACACCAACATGCAACCCCTAACATTGCTAACAAAAGCTTTGAAGGGTGCTCCTGTAAAAGGCAGGCTTGGAAGTAGAGTCTCCCTCCATAAACATTGCATTCCATTTGGGATCTAACATACTTTGAGGGAAATAACCCACGGAAAGATATGGGCACAGCAGAGGTTCCACGTGTGTCCCTTGGAGTAAGAGATCCTTGCTCAGGGCTTAAAGCACAGTTGCTGAACTCTGATACCTCTAACTCATTTCTTGACTATCGCCTGTGAGTAGGAATTCATTGAAGCAACAATAGGAAGGGAACAGCTGTTGTGAGGGTGGATAGTGATAGGACAAGGGGAAATGATCTTAAACTGAGACAGGGGAGGTTTAGGTTGGATATTAGGAGGAGGTTTTTCACCCAGAGGGCGGCGAGGCACTGGAACAGGTTGCCCAAGGAGGCTGTGGATGCCCCATCCCTGCAGGCATTCAAGGCCAGGCTGGATGTGGCTCTGGGCAGCCTGGGCTGCTGGTTGGTGACCCTGCACATAGCAGGAGGTTGGAACTGGATGAGCATTGCAACCCAGGCCATTCTATGATATGATATGTTATTATATGGTACGATATGATAAAGTGCTCAGCATTTTGTCCTCCATACAGAGCAGACAAATGTAGAACTGCCGATGGAGTCACTGAGTTGTGCACTCAATGCCAAGCAGTTCTTTGATACCTGTTTCAGATTTCCTCCCCAGGTACATGCCACTAAAGACCTCACATTCTTGGATATCCCGTTTAGTGGGCCATGTGTGGACTGTTAGGAAATGAAAGTGTCTGTGATGGCAGTACAAACTTCCTTGGTTTGGTATTTCAGCTCCTCCAGCGCTCTCCCTGTCAGTAGATGGTACATGGTGGCAACCCAGAGCAAACAGTGGCTGCTTCCAGAAAATCAGGACAATAGAAAACAAGGAATGCCTTCTTAGGTGTCAGTACACACTTATGCCTAACAGAGGATAGAGCATCTGTAGGGAGGCCAGTGAAGGAGACAGCCACACTGCAGGGTTATCTCCTTGTCCAACATCCCAGTGTATGGATGAGAAGTTCTCATTCAAGAAGAATTTCTCTTGCTGATTTGCTGCGTTTTCTCTTCTTCATGAAAGAAAAGAGTGGAAATCTAATAAAAAGTGTTATCAGCTTGTCAAGTTAATTAGTATCTATTTCAATACTATGATTATTATCGGTTACTAATGAATATAAGAGGATTCTAACTTCTTTTTGTCTTATTTTTCAGTGAGAAGCTGGATGGAGAAGCTAAAAGATAAGGTAGGAGGCTCAGTGTTTCTCTCAATGACTTTAAAAGCAGAAATGTTTTTACTTGCAGGAGTAAATAAGCTTTTGCCAGTGCAGTTTGTTCTGTCTACAAAGACAATTGAGAAGGGGCTTAACATTTCCACTGGGAGACAATGAACCAGCTGCTGCTGTTGTGTAGATTGGTGTAAATCCACAGCATATCACTGACAGGTAGCTAAGAGCAAAATGAAAGACAGAGGTGTTGGATGGACTTCTCCGCACCAGATGGTCGCCTTCTCTTCTAGCTCCCAAAGGTACTTTTTTATTGCCCTCAAGTTTCCCCCACCCCTTTTCTCTCAGCCCAAAGCTTGGCTCTGGCTGTGTGCTTTAGCATCAGCTCAGGGCCAGACCTCTCCTGCCTCATATACAGGAAGAGCTGCCAGATCCTGGAGGTAGAAGGAATGAACATAGGGCAACTGAAAAGATACCAGACCCTGATCTTTTCTCCCTGATATTGTAAAGTGGTTGTATGTGCAATGATGAGTTGTACCAGCCACAGACTGATAAATCTTCAGGCTCTGCTATCCTAGGGCAAATATTAACATTTTGAAATGATTGTGAAACCTTCCAAATGCTTTGTTGACAGTGGTAAAGCAATGAAGCTAGAAATGAAGTGACAGGAGTGTTTCAAGGCAGTAATATGTTGTGGCTCAGTGGGGCTTAGAAACTCTTCAATAGGATCAGAGACAATACGGATAAAAAGACAAAGAATGAAGAGCTCTGGCCCCTGAAAACACATAGAATCATTGAATGGTTGGATTGGAAATTACTTTAAAGCCCATCCAGTTCCACCCCCTTCCATGGGCTGGGTGCTCCAAGCAGCTCAGGCTGCCCAGGGCCCCATCCAGGGCCATGGGCCCTGGGCACCTCCAGGGATGGGGCACCCACAATCTCTTTGGGCAACGTATTCCAGTGACTCACTGCCCTCTGAGTAAAGAATTTCTTCCTAACATCTAATCCAAATTTCCCCCTTTTTAGTTTAAAGCCATTCCCCCTTTTCCTATCACTGTCTGCCTCTGTTAAAAGTTTGTCTTCCAACAGAGATGAGTTTGAGCAGACTGTCACCCAGTGAACAAAGTCCTCCCACATGATCCCCACTGAATTTCAGCAGCACCAAATCTGAAAAGAAAGAATGGATCTGGGTGTCAGTTTTCAAGGACTGAGGAGTGAAGGGGTTGAGGAGAATTTGTGCCCAGCCCTCGTTGAGTTGATTTTCTACCCACAATAGGAAGGAGACATATCTAGTGTCAACTTTGCTCATAGCAGAGCATCCTGGCGTGGGATTCAGCCAGAACGAGCGTTGCAAGGACAGAGAATGGTTTTCCCAGCAAAGGTAAAAAAAGCAGACACTGAAGCTGGTTGGGTGCCTGGAGGGATTACAGCATGCACATGTGTCACCTGCTCACACCAGAGCTACCCAGCTGCACCACACGAGCCAGGGGGCATCATGTGCCTTCTGTGTATTTCACTTTGTTTCTTGTTGGCTACCCGTTTATGTCCCCACGAAGGGGATGCATGTTTCTGTTTCTAGCACAGTTGCTGTCTGGGGTCTGACCCTTTGCAGCATTGATATAACCAATCTGCTGGTGTGCACTGAAAAGAGAGAAATCTCCTTCCTGCAGGGTATGGCACTGGGGAAGGCAGATCTTTCATCTTGCTCATTTTTTCCCCCAGAAAAGCCCAGCAAAACCCACTCCTCACCACCAACCAAGTGGTGATGAACCAAAACATGCACAAATCACGTCTTGCACACCCTGTTTCCTCCTTTCTCTTGTTGTCAGCACCAGTCTTAATACCCGCCCTTTCCATGTGCTGTTGGCAGAGCCCTATCAAAGAGCCATAGGACATCCTGAGTTGGAAGGAACCCATAAGGAGCATCGAGTCCAACTCCTGGCTTCACACAGCACCACTCAAAAACCAGACCCTGTGTCTGAGAGCATTGTCCAGATGCTCCTTGACCTTCATCAGCTTGGGGCCATGCCCTTTGGGGCAGAGCCTTTCCCTGGTATCCAACCTGATCCTTCCCTGTCCTCTCTGCCAGGAAGGTCAACATGAGGAACTGGGGTCCATAAAGAAATCTCATCTTCCCTGTGGGCAGTGGATGAGAAAGTGGCTTTGGAGCTGCCTGTAGAGTAGGTTTTATATCAAACAAATGCCAAAGCCCTCTCAGGTTGGGCCACATGATGCAGGAGGGCTGGGAGGACAGATCCTGGAGCTGGTTCACAATGCAGGCATCTGGGGTACAAATCATTGGTGTGGTTGTTGAGGAAGGCTGTAAAAGGGCATGGGTTGAGCAGGCTGGAAATGCTCATGGACAGACTGGAGAGTTCATCATATTAAAACCAATGATTTCTGATGCAGAAACTCAGCTGGACAGCAGCAAAAAAGGCATTTCCAACCTTCCCTTGCCTCTTGTGCCAGCAGCACTGTTCCCAGAAATAGAACTACCTACGCTGCACTAATTAGGTCACCCGATTAAAGTGCCTTAATTGCCTGGTGGAGGTGTAGGCTTTTTGCCATGTTGTCACTCACTTCCTTTCTTGGGTGCCACACAGAACTCCCTGCAAAGTGCAGTGCCGAGCAGGGCTGACTTTGCTGGGAGGCACTGCAGGATGCAGCCATGAGCCCAATGATCCAGGCATGAAGGTGTTCCTATTTAAAGAGCCCAGCAGGATCTGGAGGGGTCTGTGAGAGCCAAACAGCTCTCGTTAGCATTGTTTCTGTCCCAGATGAAAGCAGTTGATTCCATTCTTCAGATAAGCACATGAATTGTGCATCTGTCCCTCAGCGGATGTAAAATCTATTCCGGTTTGTAGAAGGGGAAAGGTAAAGCTGCAGAGAATGAAGGCAGCAGCACTGACAGGATGTGAGCTGTGCCTGCCTGTCCTCCTCCACTGAGACCCCAGCCTGAGCTAAGTGAGGATGCTGTAGCAATTTGGCAGCTTAAATCTTAATTTTCACTTCAACAGTAAAATAATAAGCACTTGGAAATATTTTCCAAAGGATTTCAAACTTTTCTATATTATTCATGGAAGACAAGGGGTTTCCAGGTGGGCTGGCCGGGGCTACCCTCATCTCCACCCCATGGTGTGTGAACACAGCTGGTTTGGCATTTCAGCTCTTTCACAGACCCAGACGTTGTGTCCCTTCCTGGAAACCTCATCCCATGCAGGTGATGATAAGGTTTCAAATATAGAGAAAAGTAAGAGGAAAAGGATTCTGAAGGGATGCTGTTGTGAGTGCTGCTCAGTTTGTCTCTCTTCCACAGGCAGGATACATGTCAGGGATGCTGGTTCCTGTAGGAGTCGGGATAGCTGGAGCCCTCTTTATCCTCGGAGCACTCTACAGCATTAAGATTATGAATCGCCGGAGGAGGAACGGCTCCAAGAGGCATAAAAGAAAGGTAGAGCAACTGCCAAGAAAGGGAAAACCCTGATCTGTCCCCACCGCTTTCCAGTTCATTATCTTGGTTGTAATCTGGTGATGGAGGGTGGTTTCTATGGAGCAGTGTACACTGGAGCTCTCAGGTGGAGTGCTGGGGGAGGGATCCAGATGCTGCTCCTTTTACTTTTGTGGGTGGAGATCTTTAACATTTCTTTTTTACCCCCAGCAGAGGGAATTTAACAGCATGCAAGACCGAGTAATGCTCCTAGCCGACAGCTCTGAAGACGAATTCTGAATTGAACTGCAGTGTCCTTGTGATATCCAGTGACTTGTAAAAGGAGTGAGGGGAGGAAAAGAAGAGAAGGAAGGACTTTCTGCTGCATCGCTGCTCTCAGCCACCCCAAACACTGAGCAGTGGTTGGTACCACCCCGTCGAACCAGCATGCTATGCTCTACGTGTACTGCGCAGTGATGTTTGTTTTGATACAGTAGTGAGATTTCACATTTGCACCCGGCGCCTCATTCAGATCCACAGCACATCTTGTTGCAGCTGGAGCTGATCTGTACGGATGATTGTTTTCCTATTATCCTGGTGTACTATTTCAGACCTGGCTGGCAGTAATCTAATCATAACAATAGCTCTCACCTAACCCAGGAATGGAAATCTTTACTGTGAATGACTTCTGTCCAATTTGTTAATTTTAAGTGTTAACATTACCTGAACTAGAGTTCATTAGTGCTGAGATTAGCTGCTCTGCTTAATTAATGAATTACCCACTTGAACTGTATCCCTCATCATCTGAGAAGTGCCCGAGTATAGTGTTGTTGATACAGTTTGAAGCACATTTCTACGCTCTTTTCCCCAGTTCCCTTCTTTTACAACCTCTGCCTTTAGCTCTGCTCCTCGCTTCTTGGAAACACGTGGGAATGGCCTCAACTTTTGATTCATGACAAAAATTTTAGTCCATTTTCTACCAGCACTGTCTGTTACAGCACAATAAATACCAGCGCTCACGTACTGATGGGTAGTCTTGCATGGATCCCTTAGCTTTTGTTCAGTGTGCAGGTAGATAAAAGGAAAGCCAGGTCAGAGGTTTCCTCAGCTTCTGCCGCCTGTTTCTAGGCACTAGAGGCTGCTTCTCCTGGTTGCGTTCACATTGAGATGGCAGTGGAGCTCATCTCCTTCCCCAGCTGCAAGTTGCATTTTCAGCCCCCTGAAAGCTCCATGAACGGCAGAACTTTTGGGATATCTGTTGGGTCTTGTCTCCATGCCACCAGACACAAGGAAGGCACCAAAGGTTGAACTGTCAGGGTGTCACGAGGTTCTGGCTGCTGGAAAGCAGCAGTAGCCCCAGTTGGAGGCATGTCCATGGAAGGTGAGCTGGTTGAGTTGGGAACTCTTGGTCATGGGGAAGATGTGTAGCTGTAGGACAGACGGCTGTGGCTGTGTCTGTGCTGCTGGCAGCAAGTTGCAGAGGGAAACAGCCAGTGTCTGACATCATTGAACCAAGAAGGGGAAGCTAATGGTGCTTTGCACGGTCAAAATAGCAAATAACAAAAGGGCTGCATTACTTATCTCTCTTGCCAGTTGTGCAATGACTCTTTAATCTTACGTTTATGCAAAATATTCATGTTTCCACGGTGGAAATCACTGTTCTATGAGGAGTCATCCTTCATACAGAGAACAGCATCTGTCACCAAAGGAGACTTGGTTAGAGAAATGAGATCAGACGGAGATGAGTCCCACTGAGTCTTTGAGGAGGTGTGAGGGAGGAGTGAATGAGGTGACACCCACATAGGATTTCATCCTCAGTGAAGGTGAAAAGGCTGTCAGGTTGCCAAGGATGTAGTTGATGGTAAGCATATGTCTGGTGGGCCTATGAATGGGTTTGTGTGGTAGAAACAACATTCGGAAGAGCACATCAGAAGAGTCTAAAGCTCAGTTCTCTTTTCAGAGGGTCCTCTGAACAAAAAAGTCATCAGATGGATGTCCAGTTCCAAGGAAGCAATGCTCTTCAGAGCCCAGGTACTTTTCTGCCAGCCTTTCCCTCCCATCCAGTGAGTCACCTGGAGAAGGACAGTCAGGACTACCTGTATTCAAAATGCTGCTGCCAATGCTAGTCTTCCAGTCCTGGAGCTGTGCATGGCCCTCGTGCTCATCCCACTGGGTGGTGGGAAGCAGGCTGGGGGAAGAGCCATCAGCGCGCCAGGCAGTGTCCATTCTTCTCTCCCTCTAGGACGGGCTCTCCCAGCCAGGATTCCACAGTGTTTGTGTCTCTCCCGTTTCATTCCTTCAGCTTTCAACAGGCAGATGTTGCTTTGCTAAAAGCAACCCCAGATCTCTAAGCAGCCACTGCCTGGGAGCCCGTTGTTAAGTCCCTACCCAAAACTGAAGTCTTTTTTTTTCATCACAAGTGGTCAGTCCAAGCTAAGAACTTCCCTTCTGGACTGATCTCTCCTTGTCTCCTTCTCATTCCCATCTCTCTTGGAGCCTACAGGTGCTTGGGAGATGTTAAAAGCCTGCTAGCATAGCTGATTGTCCAAGTAGTCTGGAGGGCCAAGTAGCCTGGAGGAGCAGTTGCCAGTGACACTGCTGCATAGAGCAGGGATACCGGCAAGATCCAAACAGCTGGGGATCAGCAGGGCTTTGTGCAACAGCAGCCTGTGAAGGGCAGCCTCTTTTCAACTTCCTTGTTAACAGTGATGTGCCTGTGCAGTTTGTGATAACTGCAGACATCACATTGATAACCAATGAGCTCCTAGGCAGTGGGGAGGAGGAGGATGGCTGGCAGGGCTGCTGATGTGAGTGCAGATACTGCAGCCCTGGCAGGGCTTTTTGGGTGGGTTGTCAGTTTGATAGATTGAAAAGGCTGATGGGGAGGCAATGGGGCCTTTCATTGTGCTAATTAATCCTCAATTTGGGAAGCATTTTCTACAGTGGCAATCAGTTTGAGTGTCTCTCTTCTTCTCAGTCCTTGACATAGTGAATTTAAATTAAAGGCAGCATGGTCTGTTAGACAAAGCTGGCATCTGAGGGCATAGTGTGGGTGACCTGTAGTCTGTGAGAGCCACGCATCTCCCAGTGAGGACACACAGTGGGTGGCTGTGATGCTGGACATCAGCTGTGCCACAGGTAGGGATGACATTGTTGCAGGTATCTGACTGCTTGTTCTACAGGTATGATGGGACAAACTGGGCAAGCTGTGGCCATATGGGATGTCCATTCAAATGCAGAGCTCGGTGTTGGCTCTGGAGTCTGTGCTTTATCCAGATCTGTGGATAGAAGGGCTGCCCAAAGCTTTTGCTTGTGCTTCAGCTTCACTCCAGTCCTGGCTCTAGCTCTGACCCCCACTCTACCATGCTTTGCTCCTGAGTTTGCTCCCCACAGACATGATGCCTTGATTGGGAGCTGCTGGTCAGTGGAAGCTTACTGTGGGCCGACTTAATGAGTGGCTCAGCAGTGCAGAGATCCCAGCCAATGTCCCTTTGAAATAGAGGTCTTTAATAGTTATTTTTGGTGAAGCACCTACCCAAGAGCCTGGATACTCCCCACATCTTCCAGTTTATTCCTACTTGGAGTGGAGGCCAGAGGGGAGGCCACAAGCAGCCTTATGTCCCAGTGAGACTTCCAGAAGCTCTTGGAGCACAGACAGGGTTTTCTGCAGAGCCTCTGATGTCAGTGGGATTCCTGCAGGTCCTTAAAGCACAAGCAGTGTTCAGCTCCTTCTCCTCTCATCCCAAACCAGTAGACTTTGAACTGGGCTCTTACAAATATTTTCTGTGCAACTCTTGGAGTTAGATTAATTTGCTGGAATTTATCAGATTACGGGTGGGAAAAGGGTTTCCAATGGGAACTGAAGCCTCTGATCTCTTAAAGTTCTGCTGTTTGATTGGTGTCCCTGCATTTCTAAAATAAAAAGCCAAACAGATTCATTTGAGAAATAAAAGAGGAGAGAAGCAGCAGAGATGCCCCCTGGCCCTGCACAGTCAGTGCTGGGTGATCTGGATGTAGAGATGGGTCGTGCCACTGCTACGCGGTGTGAGCCTCATGCGACAGCACAGCTGCAAGGACGACTTTGCTGCAGCAATAATCCTCTCCTGACTTGGCACAAAACTTGTAGCTCACCTCTGTTTTCCCGTGGATGCCCAGTTTGGGATTTCTTGATAGCACAAGCCAGAATTTGTTGTAGGCAACACGCAACCCTTCCGGCATTCACAGCCCCATCTCCAATGGGAGGAAGCAGCCTGCCCGACGCTCAGCCCTTGTCCTGACAAAATGTTCCTGCACTCCACAGCTGCTGATTTTTTATGGTGTCTCTAATGCCAGGGGTTCACCTTAGATGAGGTTCCTTTGGACTGCACTGCATCCGTAGAGGGATATTAACAGTCCTTGTGCTTTCTTGTGGTTTTCAATTTTGGACAAGACCAACTCCTCATACTGTAACTATGGAATGTAGCACTTTGTTAAAGTAAAACATTGGAAATAAAAAGCTGGCCATCATAGCTGACTTTAAACATCTTGTTTCCCTGACCTGTGGTTCATTGCGTGCTCTGTCTCAGGTAAAGCTGCCAAGTGATTGCTTGGAGATTCAAATGTTGCATTTCTTTTATGTTTGGTGCAAGGATGAGAGCTGGGCTTGAAGTGGAACGCACTGAGGAGTTTCAGCCTGGGATCGGGTCGGATTTACGTGGAGGTAGGTGTTGGCTTTGGGCTATACTGAATAACACCCAGATTCTTCTGGCTAGACTTTGAGGAGCTGTAAGGGGGTCCAACACTGACATGCTTATGATGTTGAGCTTACAGCCAGAAGCTTCTTTGTCCACACCAGGATATTTTTTACCATCTGGTGTGACTCGTGAGGCAAGGCCTGTGCACAAACCTTTCCAGACCTCGGTGATACATCACAGGTGAGCCTGGAGTCTCAGATGCAGGTACTGCAAATGACTCCTGGAAACGGGGCTGACTGCATGTGAACACCATCTCATGGACCTCCATGGATTTGTGGTCTAAGAAGCAGCAGAATGCCCAAAGAAGTCATGGATGCCATCCCTCGAGGTGCTCCATGCCAGGTTGGATGGGACCATGGGCAGCCTGATCTGGTGCCAGTTGATTGGTTGGCAACCCTGTCTGTGAAAGGGGGTTTGGAACAGGGTGATCTTTGTGGTCCCTTCCAACCCAAGCCATTCAGTGGTTCCACTAATGGGCTGAGAGAAGGCATGTAGGCTGGGTTTATAGTGGCCTCCCCAGCCCTGTTTTCAGGCATCCTTGCACAGCTTGCATCATTGCATGGTCCT